ACTCCGGAGAGGACGCGGACGGCCTGCATCACCTTCCAGATATTCACCATCACTCCGGGATGCCCATAGTGAGCTCCCCGCCCCCGGATTCCCAGCTCCGCCCACCCTGCTGCATCTCTTCGAGGGCTCTCCCACGTGGATAATGCAGCAGGTGAGGCGGTGAGACTCCACGAGGTGGCGGAGCCCAGAACAGTAGACATGCGCAGCAGCAAAAAATTTGTTCTGTTTTGATTCCCGAATTTGCGTTATTTCGTTTCGGGATCCGGACGAAATTCGTTAGCAGTAGTCCAGTCGAAATTTTGTTTCAGCAGACTGTCACTTTGCTGCAACGAAATTTCGTCCAATAAACAAAATTTTGACCTGGACTACCGCTAACGAATTTCGGGAATTCGGATCCGTTTGCATTCGTTTTAGCTGTAAATCTGAAGCATCCGAATCTCTGAAATTTCGTCCGAATTTCGTTTCGGAACGAATCGCGCATGTCTACAGAAAAGTAATCTCACTGCTGGAGGACCTGAGAGATAAATGAAAGCCAGCAGGTGAATCAGCCCAATTTTTTTGGAGGGGGAGCGGCCCTAATACATTTAGAGTACAACAATTAGCAATGAGATTGTCATTATCCCTGAGGTGCCTGGAGGAGGATCTCCGGACATCTGTCCCCTCCCATATTGGCGTCTGTAGTAGTGCCGGGGGTTGGCGGTCAGGAGCACAGGCTGTATCTCTGGTGCTTGCTCAGGCTGGTGCGGTAGCGGAATTCCTTGCTGCAGTCGGGACACTTGTAGGGTTTTTCCCCGGTGTGGATTCTCTGATGGACGACGAGGTTGAATTTCTGGCTGAACTGCTTGCCGCACTTGGCGCAGCAATAAGGTTTCTCGCCGGTGTGAGTCCGCCGGTGGAGGACCAGCTGCGACGTCTTGCTGAAGGCTTTTCCGCACTCCGCGCACACGTGCCGGGCGGTGTCGTGCGTGATCTGGTGCTCCAGAAATTTGTCCATCTTGTCGAAGTTTCTGTTGCAGTGCTCGCACTTAAACTGCGTTTTCTCCGCGTTCGATCCCTGGACGGCGGTCGCCTCGCCGCAACCTGAGCTATGAGCATCACCGCCGTTGGTTTTTGGTCTATTGGGGGACTTGGAGTTTTGGTAACTATGCTGGACTGGGGCTCCATGAGATGGTGGATCTGATAGCACAACGTTCATGGGGTCATGATGGTGAGAAGGTGGAGTAGAAGGAGGAAGAGGAGGAGGAAGAGAGGACACTCGAGAAGCTCCCTTATCTTTTAGATTCACCAGTAATTTCGTTTTCATAGGAGCTTTAAGGGGGGGCATTAATGTCTTTGCTGGGGTATTCCCACAAGTCGGGGTGCGTGACGTTGATGTAGACGTTAGGAAAGGAATGTGAACTTGGGTGTCTTCAGAAGGGGGGGGCATTAATGTCTTCGCTGGGGTCTTCCCACAAGTCGGAGTCTGCGGTGTAGATGTTAGGAAAGGAATGAGATCTTGGGTGTCTTCAGAAGGGGGGGGCATTAATGTCCTCACTGGGGTCTTCCCACAAGTCAGGGTCTGCGACGTTGATGTTAGGAAAGGAATGAGATCTTGGGTGTCTTCAGAAGGGGGGGGCATTAATGTCTTCGCACAAGTCAGGGTCTGTGATGTTGATGTTAGGAAAGGAATGAGATCTTGGGTGTCTTCAGAAGAGGGGGGCATTGATTTCTTCGCTGGGGTCTTCCCACAAGTCAGGATCTGCGACGTTGATGTTAGGAAAGGAATGAGATCTTGGGTGTCTTCAGAAGGGGGGGGCATTGATGTCTTTGCTGGGGTCTTCGCACAAGTCAGGGTCTGTGACGTTGATGCAGATGTTAGTGGTAGAAAAGGAATGAGATCTTGGGTGTCTTCAGAAGGGGGGGGCATTAATGTCCTCGCTGGGGCCTTCGCACAAGTCAGGGTCTGGGACGTTGATGTTAGGAAAGGAATGAGATCTTGGGTGTCTTCAGAAGGGGGGGGCATTAATGTCTTTGCTGCGGTCTTCCCACAAGTCGGGGTCTGCGACGTTGATGTAGATGTTAGTGGTAGAAAGTGTGAGAACTGACAGTCACCCTCAGAAGGGGGGGGCATTAATGTCTTTGCTGCGGTCTTCCCACAAGTCGGGGTCTGCGACGTTGATGTAGATGTTAGTGGTAGAAAAGGAATGTGAACTCGGGTGTCTTCAGAAGGTGGCTCTGGCACGTTCCTCGTTTCATCTTTGGAGGAACCAGAACAGGATAAGACATTGGACATTGCTAAGCTATGACAAGTATCTACCAAGCTGATGGATTTCTTCACTGCAGATGTCGGCGGCCCAGCTGGAGCTGGTGGTGGAATGATGGGACCCTTTTCAGCGGGACGTTTCCTCAGGCAAAGAGCATGCCTCTGATGGCGGAGAAGGCCTGACCTGTAGCGGAAAGCTTTGTTACACTCATGGCAGATGTAAGGTCGCTCCCCTGTGTGAATGCGTTGGTGAACCACAAGGTTGAAGCGCTGGCTGAAACTCTTGCCGCATTCAGTGCAAGAGAACGGCTTTTCACCCGTGTGTGTCCTCTTGTGGAGAATGAGCGTCGACTTCCTGTGGAAGGTCTTATTACATTCCGGGCACGTGTTCTTAGTTCCCAGGTGGGTCTTCTGGTGCTCTGTAAACTGGCTCAAGTCTGCGAAGGACCTCTTACACTGGCCGCATTCAATCAGACCCTCCACAGGCGCCATCGTCTGATCACCTTCCTCAGTTTCTGGCTGTTTCGTCGGAACCACCATTGACTTGCTGACCATGGCTGGCAACTGTAGTGTCGGAGCCGAGGACGAATGTTTGAGTTTGGAGACCAGAAAATGGGAGAATGTTTTATCAAAGAGGGAGGAGGATGACTGTGAGGGAGACTTATAACCAGATGAGCTACAGCTGGGTGAAGGCAAGACGAATGGTGTCTTCAATGGAGGTTTTTTACCGACTGATGAGGAAAGAGGTGAAGGAACCTTTGATGATGACAGTGGACAGTGGGGCTTAGTGCTGGATGAATGATGGGGGGTGGTCTGCACTGGGGGAAGACATGCGGTCACTGATTTCTGATGCAGGACTGTACATGAAGAAAAGGGAGAGCTGGCATGATATTGTGACTTTGGTGAGCTAAAAGATTTCATGTGAGGTCTATGACACTCAGATGACGCATGCTTAGTATATGACGCATGGGAGACTAAGGAAGAGGAGGACGAAGAGTTTTTCAGACATGAGGTTTTATGATCGGAGGATGAAGGACCGAAGGAAGCAGAGCGATGAGGTTTGCGTGAGGACAAGAGAGTGTTAATACTCGATGGACAAGACATAGAAGACGGTGAAGGAAGAGGCTTCTTCCCTCTGATGCAATGAGAAGATGAGGACAGTGAATGATATTTTGAATATAACGGGTGATATTTATGTAGCAATGAGGCCGTGGGGGATTTAAAGCCTTGGCCGAGGGAAAGGGATGAGGCAGAGGAATGTTTAGTAATCATGACTTGATGCATGGCAGGAAACAAAGCCGAGGGAGACTTCAAACTTGACTTGCGATTGTTTGTAGAAGATGAAACCAAACGAAGTTTTCCTCCTGCAGGACGACTCAACGCTGAGGACAAGCTTGGCTGAGGCTCCATCTTTAATGAAGAATAAGTAGAAGGGGATCTTGTGGAGCTGGAATGTATACTGGACTGGTGAATGATAACTGGATTTGAAGGAGGGCCCAGTTCTTGACGGGTGGGGGAAGATAACGATAAAAGAGGTTTATTAGGAGAGTAATAAGGTATAGAAGATGGTGCCAATGATGAAGGTCTAACTCCTGATTTATGAACGATGGAAGTCGTGGATGAAGATGGAGGTTTACTGCTGGATGGATAATGAACAGGAGAGGATGCCATAGACTGAGGCTTCGTAGCAGATTGCTCCATGGTAGAACCGACTGATAACGAGGATTGTTTGTTTGCTGAGTGAGGACCAGATTGATAGCTAGAAGATGACTGTAGTGTAGGGACCAGCTGAGGACGCATAGGGCTCTTTGAAGATGTTGTTGGGCACTGCAAGATGTAAGGTTCTGGACCTTGACCACCAGTGGTCAGCGATATCGTAGAGGGTTTAACATGTGATGACAGAGAGGTGGAAGGTGCCTGAGGTCTACCAGCCAAGGTCTTAACATCTGACTGGACGCTAGCCTGAGGAGGCAGTTGCGGGATTTTAGCCTTTCCTCCGGGACGCGTCCTGTGAACAGTCTTCACACACTTGCCCTCGTGCCTCACGAGAGCCGGCTTGTATCTGAAGCTCCTATCACAGAAGGGGCATTGGTAGGGTTTTTCCCCGGAGTGAATTCGCAGGTGGATCACGAGGTTGAACCTCTGGCTGAAACGCTTGCCGCACTCGGAACACGCGAAAGGACGCTCCCCGGTGTGAGTCCTCCGGTGGAGCTTCAGGACAGATTTTCGGACGAAGCCTTTCCCGCAGTCCGGGCACGCGAAGCTCTTGTTCTCCTTGTGGGATCTTTTGTGCTCAATGAAGAGGTTGACGTCGGTGAATATTTTCGGGCAGCTAAAACATTTTAACAAGTGCTTTCCGTTTTCCATCATATTTCCCAAATGGCCGAAAGTTTTTGCGTCGACCAAATTCTCCAATCCTTTGTATTTCACAAGGGCTTTGTTAGCGGCTATCGCGTCCACTCTTTCCAGGTACGTTAGGGGATCGTCATCGCCGGGCAGGGCCCATCTTAGACCCGGAGGTACATCACAGGAAGGCCATTTCTTGCTTGCACGGAGACTGTAGAACTTCCCCTGGTTGTGTTTGGTTTCTCGGATTGTCGGAATGAACGGCTGATGGTCTGTATTGGGGTGACATCTCTGGTGACGTATTTTATGGTCAACGAGCAGAGACCAGCTACCCAAAACCTCTTGGCAGTCAAAACACCTGTGATGTACTTTGTCCAGCACGCCGTGAATACTCCTGTACCCGTCCCCCCACGTCTTCATATAGACCATGTCCCATTCAGTCTGCTCTTCCACCTTCCATGCTGAGCCTGCTGTATCCACAGTGATATACATTTCTTCTGTTTTAATAGGGGGCTCGCAGAGGTCTTCTGGAAAACACAAAAAATGAAAAAGGCATTAAAAAGAAAACTATTGTAACGTGTTAACCCCTTCAGCTCAACATCAGTAAATGGTCACTCGCACTCCAACTTGATGCAAAGGCAATACCTTTTATTGACTAAGATAGTGTCACATTTATAGCAAACCCCCTTCAGCTCTCCCCCTGTACACACCCGATGGACCGGAGACATTTTTGCATTTCTGCTATGGGCCTGTTTATTCTGCAATAACTTTGTCATTGCTTAAAGCCCATCTCCTGGTAAAGAAAAAAATGTACCCCCCCTCCACTCCCCGCATTGCAAGGGTTAGGTACTCGACTTTTGTAGGGGACTTCAATAAAGTACTTTTACTTACCGATTGCGGCTCCCATGGCAGACGGCGCTCACTTATTCTACTCCTCTGCTGCGCCTGTGCTATATCCCTCAAATTCCTCCCGTCTAATGCAGGTCAATGGACCTGCATAAGACAGGATGACGTCAGCAGTCCTTATACTGCCAGAGTGAAGGGGAAATGGCTGCGGGGACCAGTCTAGCAGCCTGCATGGAGATGGTGGGAGTGGGGATCAGGTAAAGAAAACAGCTTTAACCTCCTTGGCAGTACTCCCGAGTGTGGCTCGGGGTTAATTTTCAGTAACATAAGTGGTAACCCCGATGCCGGCATCCATCTTCTGGGTCCCGTCCCTTGCGAGCGTCCGCGCCGCAGGGGGGCTGAACCGGCGGGAATTGTAAAAGTTAAAAGAAAAAGAGATAGAACAAAAAAGGAAAAAATAAATAAAAAATAATCATACCGCCAGGGAGGTTAATAGTGTCCCCTAGACAGAAATTAGCATTTAACCTGCGCATTTACGGGGAGGGGAACCACGATAACAAGATAATATACTGTACATTTTATTAAAAAAAATATTTGTTTGTTTACTTAGCAGGCTGGTTCCAGAGCATGTGGAAAAACTGCAGCATGCCCTTATTTTTGCTGCTCTGGAACGCACCAAAATGCATGCAATCGGATAAAAAACGCAATTTTTTTTAAGCGCCATGGAACGCCGCAAAACGCACTGAACTGCAAGTGCAGAAACTCATGCAGATCTGGTCTGCATTTGGTGTGAACATGCCCAAAGTTAACACACTGAAGAGAGAAGCTGATTGGTTACCATGCACATCTGCTCCAGATTTTGTCTGCTCCAGTTTTAATAAATTCCTAATGTGTCTTTGTATCTCTCTATCTCCCTCTGATCAATGTTTATAAACAATGTTACTTTGTATCTCTCTATCTCCCTCTGATCAATGTTTATATACAATGTTACTTTGTATCTCTCTATCTCCCTCTGATCAATGTTTATAAACAATGTTACTTTGTATCTCTATCTCCCTCTGATCAATGTTTATATACAATGTTACTTTGTATCTCTCTATCTCCCGCTGATCAATGTTTATAAACAATGTTACTTTGTATCTCTCTATCTCCCTCTGATCAATGTTTATATACAATGTTACTTTGTATCTCTCTATCTCCCCCTCTGATCAATGTTTATATACAATGTTACTTTGTATCCTTTCCTGTCATATTGGGAGGATTTCATGTTTTAATGTCTCTTCTATGACCTGATTTCACACTCCTCACCTAATAACAGTACCGAGTCCAGGTTCTCCTGCATCACCTCCCTATAGAGGTCCCTCTGCCAGTCCTGCAGGTGACTCCATTCCTCCTCTGTGAAATAAACCGCCACCTCCTCAAAGGACACGGGAATCTAGAACAAAAGACCGACAGGGAATGATGAGTATAAAATGTCACTTTGCCCAGGACGGATATTTCGGGGGTTTGTTACAATCTAAAGCTCTGAATACGCAGATGAGAAACACATACTGGAGCTGATTAATCTGCCATAGGATTTGTATTACTGCCCATCCATTCCTGAGATTTACACACCTCTGCCGTGCAACACAGTCCTGCCTATCAGAGCAAGAGGACTGACTTTTCTTTATTTCAGCCAAGACACAATTACAGGTCTTGTCCCTCCCCCAGCCTGTGATTGGAGTGAAAGGAGACCAGCAGACTGACGAGTTCATCTCCACGTCACTCTGCTCTCTCCTCCAATCAGCCGCTCCTTTGTTTATAGATCGTCTACATCCTAAAGATAGAGCCATTTATCCAACTGTCCATCCGGAGCCGCCGATTTATAGACCGGATACGGCTGTTTCTGACCTCTTAGGTCTCCTCGGTGCAGGCTATGGCTCGGAATACACATTTTAGGGTGCTCTGTATACTGTACAGAGCCCCGGGTGGCTATTATAATCAGATATGGTTTGTGGAACTACAAATCCCAGCAGGGTGGCGCAGTAGTTCACAGTGAACCCCCCCCCACACTGATACAATGTACATTGCAGGATAGGATTTCTGGCAATCGATGACAGTACTCACCCACACAG